CCTCAGCCCTCCCACCTATCATGATGACATTCATCACCCTCAACCCTCCCACCTATCATGATGACATTCATCACCCTCAACCCTCCCACCTATCATGATGGCATTTATCACCCTCAACCCTCTCACCTATCATGATGGCATTTATCACCCTCAACCCTCCCACCTATCACGATGGCATCCATCATCCTCAACCCTCCCACCTATCATGATGACATTCATCACCCTCAACCCTCTCACCTATCATGATGACATTCATCACCCTCAACCCTCTCACCTATCATGATGACATTCATCACCCTCAACCCTCTCACCTATCACGATAGCATCCATCATCCTCAACCCTCCCACCTGACATGATAGCTAGTATGCCCTCCACAGTGTGAAGGAACATGACCAACCTTAACGTGGCTTCAACACGCATACTTTAATGTCTCTTATTTCTAGAATATCTCTGAAATATGTGGACCAGGAGTGAACGATGTTTGTGATGAGGTCAGTGAAAAATGTGTGTGTGTGTGTGTGTGTGTGTGTGTGTGTGTGTGTGTGTGTGTGTGTGTGTGTGTGTGTGTGTGTGTGTGTGTGTGTGTGTGTGTGTGTGTGTGTGTGTGTTTGTGTGTGTGTGTGTACTCACCTAGTTGTACTCACCTAGTTGAGGTTGCAGGGGTCGAGTCCGAGCTCCTGGCCCCGCCTCTTCACTGATCGCTACTAGGTCACTCTCTCTGAACCGTGAGCTTTATCATACCTCTGCTTAAAGCTATGTATGGATCCTGCCTCCACTACATCGCTTCCCAAACTATTCCACTTACTGACTACTCTGTGGCTGAAGAAATACTTCCTAACATCCCTGTGATTCATCTGTGTCTTCAACTTCCAACTGTGTCCCCTTGTTACTGTGTCCAATCTCTGGAACATCCTGTCTTTGTCCACCTTGTCAATTCCTCTCAGTATTTTGTATGTCGTTATCATGTCCCCCCTATCTCTCCTGTCCTCCAGTGTCGTCAGGTTGATTTCCCTTAACCTCTCCTCGTAGGACATACCTCTTAGCTCTGGGACTAGTCTTGTTGCAAACCTTTGTGTGTGTGTGTGTGTGTGTGTGTGTGTGTGTGTGTGTGTGTGTGTGTGTGTGTGTGTGTGTGCGTGCGTGCGTGCGTGGTGTGTGTGTGTGTGTGTGTGTGTGTGTGTGTGTGTGTGTGTGTGTGTGTGTGTGTGTGTGTGTGTGTGTGTGTGTGTGTGTGCACGTGTGCGCGCGTGCTTAAATTTCACAAATCAGCTCAGGTGGCAGTGACACCACCAGCTGTAACGCTACCAGTTGTGACACCACCAGCTGTGTCAGGAGCAGTTGTGACACCAGCTGTAAGACCACCAGCTGTGATACCACCAGCTGTGACAACACTCAGCTTGCCAATACCCACGTGTGGGCTCATACCGTAGCACCAGCTACCGTGACAACAAATATCATTACAAGTACCGTGGCGACAACTACCCTGACGGTAGTGATTCAATGTGACAACACCAGGCAGTTCTGGTCGTGGTGTCAAGTCGTCACAAACATCAAATCAGTTTCCTAGTCCTTGTGCCAAAAAAAATCTTTCATTTTCCACCTGACGGCGCAGTTCTAGCATCATTAATTATTACAGAACACAAATGTGTTGAAAAACGTTCATAAAAAGATGACGCAGTTAACCCCCTCTATCAGAAGGCTTTCCAACGAGGGTAGAATTAGAGCCCTGATTTATTATTATTATTATTATTATTATTATTATTATTATTATTATTATTATTATTATTATTACCTATATCAGGAATCTTTCCAGCGAGGATAGAATAAGAGTTGTGATTATTACTGTTATTATTATTATTATTATTGTACTCATAACGATGCATTAGACCAGTGGAGGTTATAATATAGCGAATTAGGAATTGGACATAATCATGTTTGATCCAAAGAGAAGTGAGTTAACCCTCAGTTATTTGGATCCAGTGGCCTTCACCAGCATTAAGGAACCAATCTTTCCCCTACCCCATCGCCATCTTCCTCCTTCAATCCCCCTTCCCACCTCCCTTCCTTCTACCTTGAAGAGCTGGGAGCCCTCAAAGCACACTGTCGTGAGATGCATAGGATGACAGGGGACATAAGTAATTAGGTTTACAAGTGGGAGACAGGCATAAATAATTGTGATGTAAATAGGGTGAAGATAAATGAACAAGACATAAATGGAAACATTGGTCTGAAGTTGGATAAATTTAGATTTAGAAAGGATATCACACAACAGTGATTTAGCAATTGTTAAGTTGAATAACAAACGGAATAGCGCCACTGAAGGAAATTATTTGACTAACTTTAAAAATAAGTTTGTGTGTGTGTGCAGTACCTGCTTTAAATGAGCTGGTAGACCTACTCCAGTATTTTTTTATTGATGAAATTTACACACTGTACGTCGAAGCAGAGGGCAATTAGCATCACGAATATTTAAAATAAAAAAACTATATTTTCATTGTATATAAGTATAAAATAATACTATAAATACCGAAGAGCAGTTCATGAAACACATAATCTCACATTCAATCATTACAACAAGCTGCAGAAAATCAGTAAATTCGATTAACTTTATTTTGACCCAGTAAACCATCCCACGTATATATATGCACACAAGGCATATATTAAAAATATATTGCTAACTGTGCGAAATAAGAGTAGACTCCATACCATTATGCTCAACAACAGAATAACGAAGATTTAATTCTTTGACTTTAGTCCGACTTACGTAATGAAATCTGTAACTTAAGTGAACGAAGAGAAACACTGGACTCGTGTTTAGCAGTTATAACATACTTACACCCTTATGTTCTGGTGTCAAGAACAATTTCAGATGGTCCAGTATAATAGTTATAACTACATTTGTAATATGTAAGGAACAAAACATCCCAGTTTTATGTCTTATAAGGTTTGCGGGAGAGCATCACCCATGCAGTCCGGTCTCAGACCAAGTCTTCCACATATGAAAGGAAATATAACATGACTAAGAACAATTAAAAATACACAAAAAATATAAAAAAATGTGCACGCCCTTAATATGAGTATCATCTATCATCTTAATTAAGTGTTCAAGAGACATTAAGGCAAAACTTTTAGCAGGTTTCTTTATCACACTCGTATGACACTACGGTACAACCACTTTTGGGATAAGTCTCTCTCAATTTTATTTGTAAAATTATCATTTTAAAATGATAATTTTAAATTGTTCTTAGTCATGTTATATTTCCTTTCATATGTGGAAGACTTGGTCTGAGACCGGACTGCATGGGTGATGCTCTCCCGCAAACCTTATAAGACATAAAACTGGGATGTTTTGTTCCTTACATATTACTTTAACATCAAAATATTTAACACCATGAGTTAAGTATGAGAGTTTTTTTTTCCACGTTAGAGAACAAACGTATTATTAGGACATTACGCTCAGCGTGGAGTTTTATCAACGTATTACTTTATAAAGCTCTACTTAGAGCGAAAAGTTAAATTAATAAAAGTTTGTTCAGCAACTTAATGTTTTCTTTTTCCTACTGTCCTCAGTACGCCAAATGGATTTATTATTAAGGCTTTCAAAATTTTAAGATATTCGTGGTTCGAGTAAAAGTTTAGATTTCTGTTCACTAATGCATTGAAAAGAATTCACAAATACACAGGTACACGTCAGTTTCCAGAGAATTCCGACTCGAAGATCATCGTGTCTTTGCATACCTGGCCACAGGATAAGGAAATTATCAACATACCTTAGCTATTTGGCATTACCTGGGAGAATGTCAAAATATGTTAGGCTGCGGGTGATGGGCAATAACAGCCTGATCGATCAGGCCAGCAACTAGCAGACCTTGCCTGGGACCAGGCCCCTGGGGCGGTGACCTCTGAAAGCGACTACTGACTACAGGTAAAACAAAAAAATTCCAAGTGTAAATTACTTCACTAGCGACAAAGAATTTCCCATGATTAAACTGGCATTTAGGTGATAAATAACATTGTAAGTTCTTCTGCAAGCAAGCTCCTGAGATCGTCCACAGCATCAGTGGTACACAGCGTCTTCCCAGCTCAACCGGGAGCGGGTAGAGATGTATAAGTTTTCTTACATCTGTTGTCCCTCTTCATCTAGCAGTAAATAGGTGCCTGGGATTTACTTGACTGTTGTGGGTCGCAGCCTGGGTGGTGGTACTATACTTCAGATACAGACTCGGCTTTGAATTGAGCTGCGATAAGATTAAAAGCTTTAAGCTTTAGTGCTTATTTTATAACTTTTCTTTAGCATATCCCACCACATGGGTGAGTGTGGCCACTCGTTACACCTCTCAGCTATCAAAGATTTTCTAAAATAATAGTTGGCAATATTAAATCTTTCTCTTGTGTATGTATAAGAATAGTTCTTTAGCAACATTTACGTTCAAAAAACATCTACTCGTCCCAGATACTCTGCCAGCGTCAGTGATGATAGTGTTAATTTACTGATGACACTACACCTTTAATTTATGATCCATGAGCCTTGTGAAGATATAATAATAATAATAATAATAATAATAATAATAATAATAATAATAATAATAATAATAATAATAATAATAATAATAATAATAATAATTATATATATTATTATTATTATTATTATTATTATTATTATTATTATTATTATTATTATTAATTCATAAGTAGAGTGGTACATGTGAGGATTCGAGCGAGATGAGAAATGTTAGATTGTGAAGAGCATGTCAAAGAAGTGAGGTGAGGGGAAGTGTAAGGGAGGGACAGAGAGCGCGAGGAGGATAGTTGGGAGTGCCAACTAGTCCCTTTGGTGATGCCCCACCTTTACCTCCAACCTGACGTAGTCTTTCCCCCTCCTAGCCTTCCCCCTCTTCACTCCTCATCCCCCCTCCCTCCTTCCCTCCCTCTCTCTCTCCTCTCCACCACCTCCTCCTCCTCCCTACTGGTCTGACACTTACCCTGTGTGTCGGGCACGGTGTGGCCCTCTGGCTCCTGGCTCCCGAGGCCACACTAACACTCACTCGAATCTCGGCCACCGCCTGAGATACAGTTAAATACAAGTCCCAAAGATCAATGGGAAGTATACTGTAATTAGTAACCCCACTGTAGAGATCCTACTGAACCCTGTGAAGTGCTCTCTGAGCAGGAACTCCTGCGTAGAGGCCTTAAGGATCATGGAAACTGCTTCACGAAGAGGAACCCATACATAGAAGTCTTATGAAACCTGGGAAGTGTTTGCTGAGGAAGAACCCCTACACAAGTCTAAAAGGACACTGGTAAGTGCTTCCTGAGAAGGAACATCTATGTAGAAGTCTTAAAGGACCATGGGAACACCCTCTTGAGTCGGAACCCTTAAGTAGTTCTCATGGTCAGTAGGAAGCAATCTTTGGACGGCTGTTGCAGAAGACGCAACCAGTGATTGTTTTTGTTTGCGTTTGCGGTTCTGCAAAGACAACACTGCGTGGAGTGGGTGAGGCGCAGTGGAAGGCTGCAGCGCCTGCAACTCCTCACCCCAAAGTACAGATGCTAAACGAGTGTGTACCAGTAATGAAAGTGAAATTGCTATAAATCTTAGAAAACATTTCTAAACGTGTGTCAGTTACGGATTTTTCAACTTCAGAATGAAATTATAAACTGTTAAATGTGTTTCATTTAAAGTGTATTCAGCCAGTGCGTCTCACGAATGTGTGTGTGAAGGTTCCTTGTAAACTCTGAGGAATAAATAGGTGTAAGAGTAATGGTCAATTAAGGCAGTAAAAGCCTGTCTGCCAGCAGTGCCGCGGACATTCACTTCAACACTTGGCACTCTGACGAGACAACGTCAGTGCCACAGCCATGCAGGTGGCTCCCTCTCACGCGTATTTTAGTGATATTTTACAAAACAGAAACGCAACAATTTACAGTTTATTAAGCAGACTAATACATTATTAAGAATTATCAGTGAAGTGCAACTGCAATCACAGAAGGAAAATCAACGTTAGTAACAGTTCCTTAAAACAGTGGGACGCCAGACTGTTAGTGATTCTTCTGGTCGTTTGTAGCAGTTAATGAAACTGTTATCATTGTTTTCTTCTTTGTACTTTTACTGTAGCATTGCGACATTCTGTGAACAGTAATTGCATGGGTGAGAGAGCGTCGTCTTTAAAATATTACTCTGAATATTTTCAATTTGTCAAGATTTTTAAGTGTTCTTGCTTAACTGGCACCGAGTTATGAGGTGAGGTCGAGGGAGCCCAGCTGGGAGGCCGACACGAAGAACACACAGCAGGAAGTTACAGCAAGAGACACAGGCAAACAAACTTTATATAAATAAAGTGGAGTATAGTATATTACACAACAATGGTTACTGACATATATAAACTACTTTATAGACAGTCCCTTATTACGTAAACACTGCTCTGAAAAGTGTTGCGGACACGATGAACACGTTACGTGGTAGCGTCACTGGTGCAAATACGCCGCAAAGTTTCAAGTGTTAGTCGCAAGATATATGAAAACACTTCTATCTCTAAACTTCTTAAAAAATAGTTATTATCAAGTTGTAAAAAAGTGCATTTACGCTTGTTTCATTAACATAAAGTGACAGACGAAAATGAATTAGTTCGTCTCCCCAGGAGAGGTGCAAACAGTGAAGGTTCCTTGGAAACTATGCCTTATACGGCAACGTTGATCGTAATTTTCACTTGAGTGAGAGAGCCAACCAAGGTGTTGCGGAAAGATCAAAGGAGAGTTTCTATTTCTGGATCGGCGAATACACAAAATTAATGTTTACTTTCCTTATCATTATAATTTGCTTTATAGTGATCAGGTATAATTATTGTGAATGACAGTGAGCGAAGTAATATAATTGATTATGGTGGAGTCGGTCGAAAGAGATACTGACGTGGCTGACAAGGATCATCACACTTCCTTTACCTCACGTCACTACCACCACCACCGCCACCATCACCCCCACTACTTACACCACAACAACAACAACAACCACTACCTGCTGCTGCACAGACAAATGCAGGCACAGGTAAGAACACATTCTCACTGACTTGAAGTATAATTATTTTGTTAAGATTCACTGATATCTCCAAAAATTATTATGTTTCTGCCATCGGTGTTCTTAACTTGAGGGATCCAGTCTAATATATTCATACGTGTGACTTAACAATCTAATTTCATATTTATTTCTTAACAGTTTTGCCGTCTTTACAACGATTTCGACATATTTTATATTTATGCAGTCCGGCCTACGAGTTGACTATTGCTGCTGGCGATCATCTCCAAGCTTCACAACCCGGAAGATAAAACACGTACATGTACAATACTTCATGAAGTCTCATGTTGGTGAAACATCGCACTAATAAATGTCACCTTTTGAAACACATAATTTTAACCAATATGAAATATTTCATGTACAAGCGGTCAAGGATCTTTCCCGAAAACTTTCACCTGAGAATAATCCTTTTATTTGTTTGTATAATGTTGAAGAGTCGTTAACCTCGAATTATCACAGAGTGTGTGAAACTGTGTTTGTGACAGCTCTTCATATCGTCAGGGTTGTTCATTATTGATTCCAGTACAGTATGCTGCAAGTTTAGCGCCTCCGTTAACAGCTTCATCATGTCAGTGACTTGATAAAAATCTTTTTTTTCGCTGTTTATAATAGATTACATTATCGAGTACCATAAGCTGTGATGAATAACGGAGAAGTATTTTGTCTTCAAAAGCCAAATACTTTAAATGAAAAAAAAAAACTAATACAACGCCTAAACTATTGAGTTATGTAGCTTTTTATAATCTCGGAGGGAATGGAACAGTGATTCTGACATATATGTTGAACACGTTGGCAAACTTATAAGAGATAAACACTGATAGCGTCTACTGCCGTAATAAAAATTCCTCATAACTACATCGTATAATGTGTATGCCACATCATGCAAGAAAATTTTTCAGTTTTTACAAGGAACACGTTAATGCTAACGCTACATACAGTGACTGAGATCGCAGAGCAAAAAACCTGGATGAGTTTTTTAAATATCATAAGCAAGATACCTGTTTCTCAGTGACCTTAATCCAGACAACATTACCTACCATGCTCAATAATAACCAACATGGAGACAGACACTCGGAAAATTAATCGATCTGTATATTTCGATACCCCCTCCTGTTGGGGTTCTTTTCAGCTGAAGAGAACCCCATCAGGGAAACGAAATATACAGATCAATTTTTTTTTTGAGTTTCTGTCTCCATGTGGATTATTATTGAGCACTGGCAGGTGTTTATTACACTTTAGCTATTCATTAACTACCAAATAAGCGCAGGAAGACGTACCATCGTATGTCCTCGGATCACGGTAAAACACCTAGCTCTGCTGGATGTGTGATATTTGAAGGACTCGGTGGTCCTGTGTGTTAGAGTGTCATGTGATTTTCTCTCACCCTGAGACAGGCCAAAACGACATGGGTTCGAGTCCTCGGATAGTCGCAGTGTTGTTATTGATTAAATACCACTCGTTCGTGGTTACAATAATATACATACATACATACATACATACATACATACATATATATATATATATATATATATATATATATATATATATATATATATATATATATATATATATATATATATACTGCTTGTGGAGGCTAGTACACCAAACGGGGAGTAGAATGAAATTAGCTCTGAGGCACCCATACCATCGTATGTCCTCGGATCACGGTACAACACCTAGCTCTGCTGGGTGCATGATCTCTGAAGGACTGAGTGGTCCTGTGGGTTAGAGCGTCATGTGATTTTAGCTCACCATGAGGTGGGCCGAAACGACATGGATTCGAGTCCTCGGCTGCAGTGTTGTTACTGATATATATATACATATATATATATATATATATATATATATATATATATATATATATATATATATATATATATATATATATATATATATATATATATATATGTGTGTGTGTGTGTGTGTGTGTGTGTGTGCAAAACAATCGCAGACATACATATACATGCAAAACAATGCAAGACAAGCCACGGGGGGTGGAAATCTTTAATTAAATCTATAATTCCTCACTGGTCAAGACAGAATATCGCGCCATAGCTTCACCATTAATGCCAATGAACATAGAGGGGATTAGCCAGACCCGCTGACCACAACCTCATAAATAAGAAGTGACAGACTAATCCCGTACATGCTTCAAGCTCAAAAATGTTGAAGTTTGGGAGCTTAATGGACTATTTCATCGACTCCTGGCATATGCCCACACCTTTCTGACATGTGCCTGTTATGTTAGGTTATCTGTAGCTAGTTTGTCTAGCACTCTATTATCTGTCTCTTAAATTTAAGTCTGGGAGGTTGAAATCACCCGGAATAAGTTAAACATTGCAAGATTTTCTAGGCTTTCTTGGCTATTTTTTTGTGTCCTTAGCTTCTGGGAGTATTCCTTGTTTGATGTATTTAGTGGTTGGTATAAAACTGGGATGTTTTCCTTTATTTATTTTTTTAGTACTTATTTTGACAGTCTTCACTATCCGTTGTTGTCTTACTTTGTATATATACGCTCTACCTATTCCAGCATTTTATAATAAATTTATACAACAGGATTATTTTTTTGTCATGTATTTATTACTTCATATGCTGATGCCCTCTTTCTTGATACCAAACATCTATAATGTACAATACTCGTGGCGGCATTTCTGTGACTCTCATATACTGAACGCTGGTAGTGTCCAATAATGATGATAACGTTTCACTGACATATGCTTATTTTTAACATTTGGGAATATGCGCATCTTCTTAGGTGAAGGAGACTTGTTGCTTGTAGGGATGGTCTCCTAACAATGGGTGATTGTGTGTGTGCTTTCTCGCCAATGTCTCTCTGACATTTGCTTATATTTAATAATTATATTGCACCACTACATAGCCCGTTACAACATTTATATGATATATGCTAACGAAGAACGCTTATAGTTTACAACGTTCAACGAAACTTTTTCGCTGTAGACCTCAATGCTAATATTAAACATCGAAAATGCACATGGTTTGTGACAACATATCAGGATGAAATTAGAACACGGAGGGCTGTGATCGTAACATACAAAATTTTCTGGGGTATTGACAGGGGTGAACAAAGACAGACTGCTTAACACATCACGAACTAGGAAGAGGAAACACAGATGGAACTAAACGCCCAGATGAATCAGAGCAATGTCAGAACAGTAAGAAAGGTAGAGACGAAGTGAATGAGAAAGTAAGAGAGGTAAAGGCGAAGTGAATGAGACAAAAGTAAGCGGAAACTTACTCAGTGCATGGATTCATAAGGATGGTATGTACAGGAGACCTACACCAAGAATGCAAGCCCAGAGCAACCAGAAAAACTCTGGAGCTCAGCCACGCAAACTCAGCTACAGTTGTACATATACACTAAACCACAAGATGTGGAACAATGTCAGGAAGAATAAAATATCGTGACTGAAACAATGCACAAATAACCTGCACATAGGAGAAAGAAACTTATGACGACGTCTCGGTCAACTTGGACCATTAATGGTCCAAGTTGGACCGAAACGTAGTCATAGTTTCTTTCTTCTATCTGTGGGTTATTTGTGTAATGTGAGGAATATCTGGAGGTAGGGGTATCCCTCACAGAGAAGTATTCCTCGACATATTCCTCACAACCAGTTGTGAAAAACTAAAACTTAAAAGCAATCATAACTTTTCTGTTAGCCAGCTTAAGCTGCAGGCAAAGGCTTCTCTCGCGCTTAATTCAGAGTTACGGATGCAAGCCTTGTAGAAAACGTAACTAAAGAGAAGAAAATAGGAAGCAATTATCGATCTCGCTAGTATGTACGAGCATATGTCACACATCTGGCGAAGACAAGACCACTTCTAGGAATGCAGTCTTTGGATGACACAAGGTTAAAAAATTTTGTTGATGTGAGAACTGGAGGTATTTTATACTGTAAACTTATTTGTTTGAAAACAAGTATGGTGATAACAAATAACAGTATATATATAAAAGCGAAGCGTTGTGCAAATAAAGGTGCTTGTAGCTGCAATTTTTCTTTGTTATACACAGTTACAGACTGAAAGAATGTTGATTAAGATACTTATGCACAACTGAGAAAAAAAAACATGTACCGAAGAGTTTCTCCACAAGTGACTTCAGTCTGAAGACAGAAAACATTTTCAATATTCGTCAGTCCCACTCGCACCTGAAGGTGCGAGTGGGACTGACAGGGCACCATTAAGGAAAACGATAGAAGAGTACCATTATTCTTTATGGAAGTCGATCCTGTGACACGCGGCGAAACGATCACTACAAAATATTTTTCTTAAACATAAAAACTTGTGTTCGTGTTGATTGGTCATGAAAAGATGTTTTAAACCTGTTGCAGAGTAATATCAAATATGTGTGCCCAGGTCTCTATAACCCTGGGAGTAGTACCCACAGTATGGGGTGTGTGGGATGCACAGTAAAACTAATAAACAAAAGGATATCGTCCGCATCAAAGACGTCACTGGCTGTAAAAAAGTTGTCATGGGAGATTAGGCTAGTGGCCAGGAAATTTGGACCCATCTTCAGCACACGCAGCCTGTGTACTCTGAGACCTGTGTTTAGCACACGCAGCCTGTGTACTCTGAGACCTGTTTAGCACACGCAGCCTGTGTACTCTGAGACCGTGTTTAGTACACGCAGCCTGTGTACTCTGAGACCGTGTTTAGCACACGCAGCCTGTGTACTCTGAGACCGTGCTTAGCACACCCAGCCTGTGTACTCTGAGACCGTGTTTAGCACACCCAGCCTGTGTACTCTGAGACCGTGTTTAGCACACCCAGCCTGTGTACTCTGAGACCTGTGATCACCACTTGTCAACTTCTGCAAAATAAAATTCTTAATTGATTAACAGCCCCACCCCCTCATCATTAAGCAACAGCCACATCAATGATCAACAACCATATCACTGATCAACAGTCACCTCTTCACTGAACAACAGCCTCCTCTTCATTGATCAACA